GGTCGCTCTGCGGGACGGGATAAAATTATCCGATCGGAATAAAATTTTGCACACATCCTTGTGTCATAGTATCGACAAGATTTCCAACCCGGCCCGACGAATCCGACAAACTTTTCCAAAATGGACCACCCTATTGCTCATAGATGTTATTTGCTAAAACACAAACTAACGCTGCAAGCTGCTCATATACTGCTGCCCCCCCCCCCCAAAAAAAAGGAATTGCTCCATTTCACTTGTACTTTTACTTATTTGAGGATCAATGTCACTTTTGGTCAAATCGTACGCTTGGAAGCTAACGTCATTGCTGTGTACGTTGCGATGTTGATGTGTATTCTAGCTAACTATCCAGATTTTATTTTCTCTCCCGGGGTTAAGCGGCGGGGATCTTGACTGATCCATGGGGGGGGGGGTTGAGAAAATAATCTCAAACTATATTATGGCATATTAAATCAAATGTTGGAGGGGCTAAACTGGCTGCAGACGCCTCTCTCCCTGGTGTAGCGCCATCCTTTGCATTATGTGATGAATAAAGTTCCCGTTAGCACGTAGCCATCGGCGCATTATCAGTCAGAACATTTTGGCGACGACGACGACGACAGCGTTTCACTTTGCGTCGCTGCCCTCGTCCGCCGCCGGTCCAAAGTTATCGCCCTTATTTATCTTTCAACAATCGAGGCAACCGGAAGCAGAATTTAGCTAGGCTAATCGCTATTCTTACCCCCCACCAGTTTATTTTCGTCATCTGAAGACCGTGTCACCTTGCTGGCCGCGCATTTCGCTGCTTCGCAGAGCCCCAGCGTCCGGCCGCAGCGACAGAAGGGCCACTTTGTGTGTCTTCTGTCAATCGGCCGATCGGAAGACGAGATGACGTCAACGTGCATTTCGCGCAGCAGATCCTGCCACTAAATGAACTGAAACGTTCTGTACTCTTATTTTCGCTGAGGTGGCTTGTCTTGGTCAGGTTGTAACGATGTCTGGTTGTTCATTTTCTTTTGTAAATGGTGTTTTTCTAAAAATAAAAACTCAATTAGCACAGCGATTTAGCTGGGATTAGCCAGATTATCTTGCTAACTGTAGCAGCGTCCGCGGCTTAGTGCGACGATGCATCTCATTTTCTGCTCTCAGCCAAGCGACCGCCTGAACTCCGTCGACGTGAACGGCAGCTCGTCATTGATATCGACGAGGTGTCCGCTTGGGCTCCGGGCTGGCCGTTTGCGTCCTCTTTGCGTCCATTTTGTTTTGCCTGAATTTGTCCTTTTCAACTTCAACTCTTCATACATCAATAACGTACCGTTTACATCACCGCCACCACCGTGACCGTCCTCGTTTCTTAGTCCTGTCCTCATTTTCATCTTGCTGCTACTTAGCTGGTCTCAAAACTGGGAACGTTGGTCAACGAGTCAAGGCCACTCCACCATCACGTGATCCGTTTGCGCAACTAACTTCAACACGAAGAGCGCCACTCGTGCACTTGACCAGCGACGCGATGTCTTTTCGTTCATCACAACGGCGCCAGTATTACTACACCAGCTCCGCTAACGATCATGTTTTGTCTATTGGTGTACAAAGTGCATGTGTTAGTCGTGCCGTAACCGTTGTGGGCGGCTGCCGAAAAGGCGTACGTGACAAAAAGTAGAGCAGGTTAATGGTTAACCCGACGAGGTCACTTAGGAACTCTTTTGTGCTTCTTCCGCCTTCCCGGTCAGGCGTCTTCCTCATCCCGTACCTGCTGATCGTCTTTGTGGGCGGGGTGCCCATCTTCTTCCTGGAGATCTCACTGGGTCAGTTCATGAAGGCGGGAAGCATCAACGTGTGGAACATCGCACCGCTATTCAAAGGTACCCCATGCCCCCCCACACCCCCACCTGCAAACACACACACACACACTTCCAGAGATCATCATGTCATCGGGAAGTTGAAGTTTGTATAAAGAAGACTCGCCGGGTGCTGCGCACGGTGAAAATAAAGAGCCACAAATGTTGTAGACTGCCGGTGAGCAAAATGTGGTATGAGTCCCACTCGTGACATGTGGGCTCCCTCTAGTGGTCGGTAAAAGAATCTCTGAATTAAATCATCAAACTGTACAGAATGTCACAGTGGCTTCAATTTTTTTTTTTTTTTTAAATCCAGTACAGTAAATTTGTTCAGCCATCATGCGCTGAAGCGTAATCGTTGGTGGGGGATGGGGTGGGATGGCGGGGGGGTTGGTGAGAGGCTGGCTGTTTGGGAAAATTAACGTATTTTCCCCAAATTCGCAAGGGCCGTCCCTGCAGATCGGGGGTCTGTATTGAACTGGGTGGGGGGGTGATTTGAGGGGTGGGGTGGCGGATGCCTGTTTTCTCACAGGATTTTTCGGTCACTTCTAAAATTGAGCATTCGGGTTGTCCTGAGAAGGCAAACATTTTTTCCAAGTGTAAAAAGTTGGAGAACGGCCGTCCTGTGCTTGTGGTGTTTAGGTCTGGGCTATGCGTCCATGGTGATCGTGTTCTTCTGCAACACGTACTACATCATGGTGCTGGCGTGGGCCTTCTACTACCTCATCAAGTCGTTCAGCAGCCAGCTGCCGTGGTCCTCCTGCGGCAACCCCTGGAACACCAACAGCTGCGTGGACGCCTTCAGCCTCCACCAATGCAACAACGCCAGCGACAACGCCACCATCGCCGGCAGCAACCTCACCTGCGCCCACGTGGCCCAAGCCAGATCGCCCATCATCGAATTCTGGGAGTGAGTCCTGACCTGTCTTGCGTGACGCGCTGCGTGTGCGGTGTGATGCAGTGCGTCCCGTAGTGTCACCTAGCTGTGTCGTCGTGTATTGTGTAATATGTCACCTGGCACGTAATGTCTCAGTTGATGCGCGACATGTGACACGCTGTGCGATATGTAGTGTCGGATGATGCGACATGTCGCGTGTCATGTACTGTCATGTCCCACGTGTTGTGTGAGTTCATGAGTCATGTAGTGTGTCACGTATCTTGTCCTGCACTTTGATGTCACGCGTCCCATGTGATCTTTGTGTCATGTGATCTACAAGATACCAAAAAGTAGCGTGTGTGTCGAGAGACACGTCGTGTGTCATGTGTGTTGTTACAAGTACTGTAGTATGTTACCTACAGTGTGTGTCATGTGACAAGAGATGAAATGCCACGTGTGACGTGGTGATTCGTAACGGGACACGCAGCATGACGTCGTGCGCGCTGTGGTGTGACACGTAGTGTAATGTGTCACCTCGGGTATTGTGTCATGTAACGTGTCACGTGGCGCGCTGTGTGTAATGTGACACGTAACATGTAGGGTGTCAAATGCACTGTGTGTGGCAATTTGTAACATGCTGCCTGTCTCTGACATGTCAACTGATATGATATCGAAGGTAATGTGGCACATAATATCAGTGTATGTGTGTGTGTGTGTATGTGTGTGCGTGTGCTTGCAGAAATAAGGTTCTGAACATCTCATCGGGCTTGGACGATCCGGGTCAAATCAACTGGGAGTTACTGTTGTGTCTGATGGCCGTGTGGCTGCTCATCTACTTCTGTGTGTGGAAAGGCGTCAAATCGACCGGAAAGGTAAAGCACGTCGACCGCACGCTCAGACTACATGACGCAGACTCTCCACTGGCTCGCATCGTCGACGAGTGATGTCAGAGATAGAGAGAGAGAGAGGCGCATCTGAGTCAGATTCAATGAACACAAGGGCCTAAATCATGCTGACCTTGTCTCGGTGTCCCAGCGTCCGAATGTGTGAGAGTTAACGTGTGTCTTCGTGAGCATGTTTCTGCATGGAAGTCTATGTGTGTCAGCTATGCGTCCATGGTGATCGTGTTCTTCTGCAACACGTACTACATCATGGTGCTGGCGTGGGCCTTCTACTACCTCATCAAGTCGTTCAGCAGCCAGCTGCCGTGGTCCTCCTGCGGCAACCCCTGGAACACCAACAGCTGCGTGGACGCCTTCAGCCTCCACCAATGCAACAACGCCAGCGACAACGCCACCATCGCCGGCAGCAACCTCACCTGCGCCCACGTGGCCCAAGCCAGATCGCCCATCATCGAATTCTGGGAGTGAGTCCTGACCTGTCTTGCGTGACGCGCTGCGTGTGCGGTGTGATGCAGTGCGTCCCGTAGTGTCACCTAGCTGTGTCGTCGTGTATTGTGTAATATGTCACCTGGCACGTAATGTCTCAGTTGATGCGCGACATGTGACACGCTGTGCGATATGTAGTGTCGGATGATGCGACATGTCGCGTGTCATGTACTGTCATGTCCCACGTGTTGTGTGAGTTCATGAGTCATGTAGTGTGTCACGTATCTTGTCCTGCACTTTGATGTCACGCGTCCCATGTGATCTTTGTGTCATGTGATCTACAAGATACCAAAAAGTAGCGTGTGTGTCGAGAGACACGTCGTGTGTCATGTGTGTTGTTACAAGTACTGTAGTATGTTACCTACAATGTGTGTCATGTGACAAGAGATGAAATGCCACGTGTGACGTGGTGATTCGTAACGGGACACGCAGCATGACGTCGTGCGCGCTGTGGTGTGACACGTAGTGTAATGTGTCACCTCGGGTATTGTGTCATGTAACGTGTCACGTGGCGCGCTGTGTGTAATGTGACACGTAACATGTAGGGTGTCAAATGCACTGTGTGTGGCAATTTGTAACATGCTGCCTGTCTCTGACATGTCAACTGATATGATATCGAAGGTAATGTGGCACATAATATCAGTGTATGTGTGTGTGTGTGTATGTGTGTGCGTGTGCTTGCAGAAATAAGGTTCTGAACATCTCATCGGGCTTGGACGATCCGGGTCAAATCAACTGGGAGTTACTGTTGTGTCTGATGGCCGTGTGGCTGCTCATCTACTTCTGTGTGTGGAAAGGCGTCAAATCGACCGGAAAGGTAAAGCACGTCGACCGCGCGCTCAGACTACATGACGCAGACTCTCCACTGGCTCGCATCGTCGACGAGTGATGTCAGAGATAGAGAGAGAGAGAGGCGCATCTGAGTCAGATTCAATGAACACAAGGGCCTAAATCATGCTGACCTTGTCTCGGTGTCCCAGCGTCCGAATGTGTGAGAGTTAACGTGTGTCTTCGTGAGCATGTTTCTGCATGGAAGTCTATGTGTGTCATGCATGCGTGTGCGTGTGTGTGTGTGTGTGTGTGTGTGTGTGTGTGTGTGTGTGTGCGCTGTGGTGCACCCATGGTCAAAGGTCACATGGTCAGCTATCAAAACAAAGGAGCCTTAATCAAACTCGCAACGTGGCCGCGCACTCTGTCGGACCGCACACACACACACACACACACACACACACACACACACACACACACACACACACACGGTCACATGGCAGACTAAGCGTTCACATGGCAACGATGCTGGGAGGAGGCCTGAGTAGGGACACGGCCAAGCTGTGATGTGGCGGCCTGTGATTTGTCCTTTGTGGAGGGGGGGAGGGGTCATTTACCCTGCAGTGGGACGTGACTGAGATGTGTGTGTGTGTGTGTGTGTGTGTGTGTGTGTGCGTGCGTGTGTGCGTGTGTGTGTGTGTGTGTGTGTGTGTGTGTGTGGGTGTGTGTGGGTGTTACATAATGCTTCACATGAAGATAATGGTAAGTGTGGTCCGCCTTTGTTATCGCATCACACAAAGTAGCTTGGACTTCTGCGTGGAGGATGCGCATTTTGACCAACAACCGTTTGGCACTCACACTCGCACTAAGGGACAATTTGGAGTGCTCAGTTCGCCTACTGTGCATGGTTTGGTAATGTGGGAGGAAAGCGGAGTACCCGGAGAAAAGCCACTCAGTCACGGGGAGAGCATGTAAATTCCACACAACCGTGCCCCTCTGCACGGTGAACCATGACGTGCTAACCAGTCGCCAACCGTGCCACCCTCACCCGGGCTTGCAAATTTAGATTCAATTCATTTTCCAATCATTGAGTAAACAAAACGCACAATTTAAAATGTGTGTGCGTGTGTGTGTGTGCGTGTGTGTGTGTGTGTGTGGGGGAGGGGGGGTCGGAAGTAAAATCATCATTCTCATTTTAAAATGATGGGCTTGCAAATAATTCATTCAACCAATGATGAAAGAAAATTGACACCAGCATATAAAGTGCAGAGGTAGAATTGTTTATTTTAATTATAAAATGTATTGAACGAATTGACCAATATCCCATTTATTTATATGAAACCTTTTCTACTTGAAACATGGAATAAAAATCACTTCTCATTTTTGGATGGTGGATGAAAATGCTGTTCATTGTACACATACTGTAGATGGCAAATTACAAATATTTTCCAGATCGTTCTTGTTTACAATCCAATCCAATATCCATCTGTATTGATAAAGCGCTTTCACAACCGCTGCAGCTGTATCAAAAAAGCGCTTTACAGAACTGTTCATTAAAAAAATACCAAAATAATAGACCAGAACACAACTATTCTCTGGCAATCCAACAATTCAATTAAGGAATTGTAAACCTGATTCCATCAACACATTTCAGGGACAAAAATAGTCAAATGAATGCAACTTTCGCCACTTTTGAGAGATGCAAATGCCAAGTGGGGCAGAGTGAATCCAAGAATGGTCCGGGTGTGACCGGCACTTATCTAGAACGTCAAACGGTGAGTAAGACAATCCTCTGATAACAACATCATGCGGTGTGTGTGTGTGTGCTTCTGTGTGTGTGTGTGAGTGTGTGTGTCTGTGTGTGTGTGTGTGTGTGTGTGTGTGTGAGTGCGTGTGTGTGTGTGTGTGTGTGTGTGTGTGTGTGTGTGTGTGCGAACGCGCTCTCACGGAGCTCAGCTCTCAAGACAAACGTCCCCGATGGCGTTCAGCGGCAGGCGGCGCAAAACTACACGAGGCGCTCAAGTTGACTGGGTTCATTCAAGCACCCACGATAACGAGAGCAGTAAAACGGAGCGTTGATTAAAAAAGAAAGTCATAAAGGAGTAAACCATGCGAGCGGCTCGTTAAATCTCACGGTTTACCCAATGAAAATCCACCACTCATCACTCACCCTGAAATTGACCCGCCATCGAAGATGATGTCATTTGATTGGCCGGTGTTTACGGAGAACTGTCTGCGTTCCCACCACATTTGCCCCGGTTCCCACCAAAGTGTTCACCTGATTCTCTCGGCGAGAGTCGGGAAGAATGTTTGCCTTCCCCTCAACTCCACGTGTGTCTTCCCCCCCCCCCCCCTTGTTTTGGTTTTCCCTCCTTGCGTTTCAGATCGTGTACTTTACGGCCACCTTCCCGTACGTGGTGCTGATCATCCTGCTGGTCCGCGGAGTCACGCTGCCCGGAGCGTACGACGGCATCATGTACTACATCAAGCCCGACTGGTCCAAGCTGGAGGAGGCCCAGGTCAGTCCGGGATCACTCACACGTTCTGTGACACGACGAACGCCATCTGCCATCTTGGATGTGGCGGATCCGCCTCGTCAAAGGGACTGCCTCAACTTGCAAAGCGCACAGAACGAACGAACGCCTCTCATTCTTGAAGACGTGATGATCACCAATGTTTTTTCTCCCAAGCCCCAAAGCAACAAAAGGGACAGGTCCTAGTCCTGGTCTTAAGAGAAGGTTGTAGTCCTGAGACAAGGTTCTGGTCTTGAGAGAAATTCTAGTCTGAAATGAAGGTTGTTTTTCCAAGATACGGTTCTAGTCCCAAGAAAAGGTTCCAGTCCCAAGAGAAGATTCTCACCCCGTGTATGGGTTCTACTCTGAGAGAAAATACGAGTCCCAAGCGAAGGTTATCATCGCATTCTCGGCCTGAGAATGTTGAAATCTCAAGTGAATGTTCTCGTCCCAATCAATGACTTAGTCAAGAGAAGAGATGCAAGGCCTAAATGAAGGTTTACAGTCCAGAGAGAGAGACCAAGCCCCCAGGAAAGGTTGCACTCTTCTGAGAAGGTCCTCGAATCAAGTGAAGGTTCTCATCCCAGGAAGATTTTCATCCTGCGATTAAATTCTTGTCCCAAGAAAATGGTTCAAGTCTTGGGAAAAAGTACTTTTCCGGAAAGGGTGATGTTGTTCCGAGTGAAAGTTTTAGTCCAGGGAGGAGATGCTAGTGACCAGAGAAGGTTCTTTTCCTGAAAGGAGATTCCAGTCCAATGAGGAGACACTCGTCCCGAGAAGGTCTTAGCCGTGCGAGAGGGTTCTAATCCAGAGGGACTCATGAGGTCTAAACAACTGACATGATGACACCAGGGTGGGAAAATGGCTCACTGGGCCTAATATGGAGATTTTCACTTGGCGGTGTCCTGATTTTTGTTGCCGGCGGTTCAGATTCCAAAGTCGATGTTGAGTTGTAAGGGGACAGGAAAAGTTACCGAGCTGCTAAACTTTGAGGCTTGAACCCTGCAGGTGTGGATCGACGCCGGCACCCAGGTGTTCTTCTCCTACGCGATTGGTCTGGGAGCGCTGACGGCTCTGGGCAGCTACAACCGCTTCAACAACGACTGCTACAAGTACGTGTGGGCGCTAGCGTGCGCCGTGGGGGAATGAACGCAAGGGGCGGCGGCCCAGCCGCTCAGCGTTTGCCTTTTCCCGCCCCTTCAGAGACGCCTTCGTGTTGGCGCTGATCAACAGCGGGACCAGCTTTTTTGCCGGCTTCGTGGTCTTCTCCATCCTGGGCTTCATGGCGGCCGAGCAGAGCGTGGACATTTCGCAGGTTGCCGAGTCAGGTGGCCACTTGCCCGCTCATTAGCTTGATGCTAAAGGCTCAATGTTTAGTCAAGCTTTCACCTTTGTGAGGCAAACTTCACGGAGTTTGGGGTTTCAAAGTGTGTCTGTTTGTGTGTGTGTGTGTGTGTGTGTGTGTGTGTGTGTGTGTGTGTGTGTGTGTGTGTGTGTATATGTGCGTGCGCACCCCAGGTCCTGGTCTGGCATTCATCGCATATCCAAAGGCGGTCAGTTTGATGCCAGTGGCGCCATTGTGGGCAGGACTCTTCTTTTTCATGCTCCTGCTGCTTGGTCTGGACAGTCAGGTGACACACACAAACACAACACACACACTTTCTCTCTCTCTCTCTCTCTCTCTCTCTCTCTCACTACACCAGTGGTGTCAAACATATGGTCCGCGGGCCGAAACCGGCCCCCAAGGAGGTTCGATCAGGCCCGCAGGATCATTTAAAAGTGAAAAAATAGGCATAAAAAAAAAACATGGAATGAATATTTTTAATAAGGTGCGATTCATGGAGTATCCCCTAGGGGACACACTGTTTTGATCAGAGAAGAAGACAACAGCAAGCCTCAGTCTGTCACTGACACAGACCCAACATAGCACATGCTATCAAGGACATGTGAATACTTTCTTCTTCACACTTTAATAGCAGGGATTAAATTTAGATTTCATATGCACATGTGTAAATGGTTTAAAAATTCCTGTCTTTGTAAATCTCATTTAATCTTAAAATGCATGACGATATTTTTTTCAATACCAATTACTTGTTCAAGTTTTGTGCCTTTGTACAATCATTGGGATCAGTTGCAATGCATATATGTGAATGATCAAAGTAAATTGCACATTTGTCTCAGGAAATCGAAGGTGCCTCATGAAATGTTTTGTAAAATATATGTTCTTTAAATGTCAACATTTTCCTAACGTTCTTGTGCTTTTTTCGACCAAAACAAAGGAAAGCCATCTTATTTTGGTTATTCATAGCAGAGTATGGTATCATTTTAACGGTGCGGCCCACTTGACATCTACTGAGGCCGTTTGTGGCCCACAATGGGAAATGAGTTTGACACCCCTGCACGACACTAATATGTGATTGACGCGATGGTGTACGTGCGCGCGTGATTCCAGTTCGTGGGCGTCGAAGGTTTCGTGACGGGCATCCTGGATCTGTTCCCCGGCAAATACGAACACCGCTACAAGAGGGAGATCGCCGTCGCCCTCTGCTGCTTGCTGTGCTTCATCATCGACATCTCCATGGTGACGCAGGTGGGTGGTGGCACGTCGGCATCGCCCCGCGTCGGCCCGGCCGGTCCAACAGTCGACTTTTCTGCGCTCGCAGGGAGGAATGTACGTCTTCCAGTTGTTTGACTACTACTCAGCCAGCGGGATGACGCTCCTGTGGCAGGCCTTCTGGGAATGCATGGTGGTGTCGTGGGTCTACGGTACGAGCGTTAATGCTCTGGGGTGTCAGAGCCCGTCATCCAAATGATTAAGCACATCGTTTGCCTCCGAGCATAAATGCCTATGCCAGGGGTGTCAAATTCATTTCAGTCTTTTAAAAATTAAATATAAATATATATAATTATATAATATATTTTTCTATTATTATAAATAATAAAAAAATATATTTTAATTTGACATTTCGGTAGATTTTAGCAAGTTGACACACATGATTTGCTTTCGCGGGCCACATAAAATGACCTGGCGGGCCGGAGCTGGCCCCCGGGCCTTGACTTTGACACCACTGGCCTATGCCATGATTTCATGTCTCTTAAGACTCTAAAATGTGTCCCTTTTTTCTAAATAACAAAAATGTATCAGTAAAGTTAACAAGTTTAGGCATGTTGTATATACTCTATTAATTCTAAATCTTTGTTATTATTATTTTTTTTTAATGAATTGTGCAAATTTGCTGGTGTTTCTGCACGATTGTTGATGACATCGTCATCCCGCGGCAGGCGCCGACCGCTTCATGGACGACATCGCGCGTATGATTGGCTACAGGCCGCTGCCCTGGATGAAGTGGTGCTGGTCCTTCATCACGCCGTGCGTGTGCATGGTAGGTCACAGCCGAGATGACGAAATATGTCCAAGAGCTCCTCCGTTAGGGATTTCACCGCAAATGTTGGAATTTTGCCAACGGCCTCCGATCTCGGGCCGTGAGCTGGGCTGAACAGTTTGAAGTCGGAATCAGGTGTGGGAGAAATGTGTGAAGGAGGACGGCAGTACGTCAAACATCTCCCTTCGCCGGTTGGAAAACCTGGAAAACGCGGACGAATGCAAAGTGTGTGTGCTTTGCAGGGCATCTTCCTGTTCCATCTGGTCAACTACAAGGCGCTGACGTACAACAACACGTACGCGTACCCGTGGTGGGGAGAAGTCATTGGCTGGTGTCTGGCGCTCTCGTCCATGTTGTGCATCCCGCTCAGTCTGGCCTACAAACTCTTCCGCGCCAAAGGCTCCTTCGCACAGGTCAGAGTTCACAACCGCGTCACAAAATCAATCGCGTGCTTTTGGAGGCGGGGTCTGCGTCGGGCAATTCGTTGTGACGTGACTTTAGCGCCGCGGCGCTTTTCGGAACAAGTGACTGGACGCACTTATCGGTTTCTGTTGCGCGTGTCCCTCATCGAGAGTCGGTCACCCGAAAGTGGTCCTCATGATAAGCGCCACAGAAAATGGATGCATAAAAGTTTTGTGCCGCTGTGTCATTTTGATGAAGTTGATGTCAGACATCCCACAATGCACTGCACCAAATGTAAATGACCTCAGTTTGACATTGGAAACATAAGTCAAAAATTTCCCCTTTGAGTCACAGTGGTCACGGCACATTGTCTTCAAAAGAGGAATGTTTGGAGGGCACGTCCCGTTTCCCTCCGGCTGACATGTAGGCAGGGATTTGTGCATGTGTAAAGGCCAAAGCTGAGACGAACTAAGCTAAGCTGAGTGCTAAACTAGCATGAGGCTAATACAACACAACAGATGGATTTAAAATGGAACACAAGTGAAAAAAGATTCAGTCAGGTGTTGTTATGGGAGCCTGGAGGTTGAAGTAAGTTATTTTAAACTAAAAAAGACATCTTCCACGTGTATCTCATTCTGACCTTTTCATCAGAGTGAGACGTGGATTCACTTGCACGGAATCTCGACTGATGAACGTGAATTTTATCACTGCTCTTCATTGTAAATCTTCCACCTGCCAACACCCCCGAAAATTCTGCCCTCAGGTGTTGTTATGGGAGCCTGGAGGTTGAAGTAACTTATTTTAAACTAAAAAAGAAAAACCTTGGCGGAGGCTGCATTCCAATACGTTTCAATGGGATAAGCCGATATGGCTTTGTAAAAGATAAAACGCTGGAAAAGTGCCCTCCACTGACCATCCATCCAATATCTGAACCGCTTATCTCATTTTAATCAAATGGGATTTTTTTCTTAATTTGTTGCGGATTTTATTATCCAACCTGTCCCGTCTTCCACGTCTTCCACGTGTATCTCATTCTGACCTTTTCATCAGAGTGAGACGTGGATTCACTTGCACGGAATCTCGACTGATGAACGTGAATTTTATCACTGCTCTTCATTGTAAATCTTCCGCCTGCCAACGACCCCGACAATTCTGCCTGCATGGCAGTGAAAACAAACGCACGCGGGGGATCAGTCACGTGACATCCGGAAGACTGCGCGCACTTGCGGATTTGCTCCCCTGACTTCCTGTTTTGTGTGTACAGCGCTGGGCTCGCCTGACCAGCCCGGTGTGGGGGAGCCACCACCTGGAGTACATGGCGCCCGACGTCAAGCCGCTCAGCTCGCTTTCGCCCACCAGCGATGACAACAAAGTTATCATCTTCGAGAGCGTCATGTGACACCGAACGTCAGCCTGCTCGCTCACTCGCACTTTATCACGCTCGTCTTCTTGTCTGACCCGCCAAATTGAAAACACTGTGAAGCATCTGGTCCTGCTCCAAAACCAGTACCGGGAACCCCACCTAGCAGTCCAGAAAGAAAATACCAGCACTGGAAGACAAAAAGAGTGGTCGTACGCGTTGCCTTATGCTGTTGTCTCAATGCCATTCGTTGTTCACCAGCCAATCAGCAGACTTTTCTTTTGTTGATGCAAAAAAGGGATTTTGTTGTTGTTGGTTTAAAGGAGACATATGTTCACCCCACACACACACACACACACACACACACAATGTAAAAGTGTTACTCGGCATTGAAAGAAAATTTGTCAAAATGCCCCTTGAAACTAATTAGAGACATATTTTATTATTTTATCACACACACACACACACACACACAATTTAAAAGTGTTACTCGACATTCAAAGAAAATTTGTCAAAATGCCCCTTGAAACAATAATTTAGAGACATATTTTACTTACAACTATTTGGATGGTAACATTAATAGGGCACTTTTCCATATGTCCTCTTTAATACTGACTCAAAGGGAATTTTTTGGTTTGTTTGTTGAGTAAACAGTTTTTTCCTTAGCGTTGAAAGTGCTGAAACTTTTTTTCAGTGTTTGAAAAATGTTAGCTCGCTAATTTTCTTTTGTGCAGTCTATTTTGTAAATTGTCCGTCACCAAAATCAGAAAGTGTACCAAATAAGACCGATATCGGATCGACAGTACTTCCACGTGGAGAGCCAATCACCTCATGCTTCCGGTCACCTTTCGCGTCTACAAATGAGGTCACGATGACGTTTGGTAGAGCCCCCCCCCCTTTTTTTTTTTTTTGCTGTTGACGTTTTTACACGTGACCAGCAAGCGGTATGGCAGTTATAACAAAAACACTTGAAATCCGTAAGTAGAAAAGAAAATGTGAACAAGTTGTAAATAATGTTGTTTTACTGTGAAAATGTGACTGGCAGGAATTGGTGTTTAACCCTCTTGGATGTCAGGAACAGCAATAATGTTGCTGGGGCGTGCTAATTACCCTCAAGTGTCAAAAAAAAAAAAGTCCCGGTAAACATTGTTTGCATTTCATGATTAACTCAATAGCAATAACTACAGATAATTACATTAACCAAGCCATAATAAATACAGTCGAACCTCGTTACAACGGAGCAACGGAGGCGAATCCCGCGCCGAACATTTTGTTCGTAAGGTCGCGCCGGCGGTTCGCTTCCCAAGGTTCGTCGCAACGAAGACCTTTTCACTATTTTGTGGGGGAAAATCCGGTCGTTTTCATTAAGTTTACATACAAGAGAAATCGGCAACTGGAAAATGAATGACGTGAAATTGGGACTTTGAAATGTGAACGTTATGGCGGTGAAAACGTTGTCAACGGGTTACGTTGAAGCGAAGTTCAACTGGACTGCTTTTTACATTATTTACTAAAAAAAAAAAATGGCTCTGCTTGACCCGGAACTTAACAGGAGGGTTAACCACAATGAAAACCTTAACAGATAGCATCGATAACTAAATCAACAAATAAAAATTCATATTATTAATAAAAGCAGGTTTTGATGTTTTCTTTTGTTACTGCTGAACAAACCCGCCAACTCAAATTTTCATGGAAAACAATTCAATGGCCATCAGTTACTTAGAAAAACCAACTCCGTTTCAAAACTTGCAATATTGCTTCATTGTATATTTGGTTGTCACCATCAAGCAATATAAATAACAAAACAGAAGCGTGAGGCATACACGCTCACCACAAGGCTACCAAATATTAATAACTCACTATCATGTCAGTATTGCAGAATTGATTTCAGTTTTATTCAGCAAATCAAAGCAAATAAGTCGAGTTGTCCGGGAGCGTTGAATGTCCACGCCGGAGTGTCGCTTTCTTTCCCAATATGGCACCACTGTCACCGGCGAGGGGGATGACGGCGCCAAATATAACTCCGTTGGCTGGTTCGAGTCAGCACTTTGAGGAACAAGATCCCGGGTGGGTGGGGGCCTAAAAAAAGGCCTTTCTAAAAGAAGGCCAACAGCTGCCTTTCAACACCCCGATCCCTTTTCCAGCCACCATGTGCACGTTGGACGCACGTACGCTCTCGTAGAAACGCACACTCACAATGACACACACACACAAGACACAAGTTTGTGTCAAGTTGTGTATTGGCGGTGACACATTACAGGTTGTGTTTGCGGTTTCCATGGCAATGTGACACACAAGTCACCCAAAAGCGTCACAGGAATGAGCGTGGCGACACAAGTCATGCTAAAGGCTACGTGAAAGCCGAGAAAGCGAAACACCTGTTGAGTCGATGGGCCGCTTGGCTCGTGCTCTTTTTACGCAACCCCGACTTGTTTGTTTGTTATTGTAGGTTTTTTTGGGACCTTCAACAACAGGAATATGACCTCATTATTTGTAAGAAAACAAAGACAAAACAAACAAAAAAAAAACAACAACTTTGAGGCGGCAACAGGACGTAACATCACACCGCAAAGCAGGCCCACGAATATGAAGAGCGTCCATCTTCATCATCCTCAGTCGGACTTCTTGTCACCACTAGCCTACAGACCAAAAAATAAAAATAACGGCGTGTGAGCGTGCATGTGAATGAGTCAACAAGCAAGTGGAAGGGAGACTGAAGAAAGGGATCAGAAAGAGTCAAGAAAGAAAAGGGGCAAGACGGAAGAAAATGAAAAAAAGAGACAGGAGAGAGGACAGGGAGGAAAAAGAGAAGCGAAGGTGAGAAAGAAAAAATAGAAAGAGTGAAGAACACAAAGAGTCAAGCAATAAGAAAACCAAAAGAGGATGGAAAGAGTCAGACAACACAAAAGAGGGGAAACAAGTGAAGAGAGGAAAAAAGAATGAGAAGAAAGTCAAGAGAAAAGACAAAAGAGGAGGAAAACAGTAAATGGGAGGAAAGGAAGATGAGGAGAAGAGTGAAAGAGAGAAAAGAAAAAAAGGCAAGAAAGAGCATGACACCGAGAGGAGGACCTGGACTGTACACATTTGAACAGCGCGACAAAATGGCTGCCTGGCGCAAAAGGCAAAGGAGCGCGCACCAGGAGTTTGCTGTGCTCGTCCAGCAGTCGGTCATATTCCAGCGTCAAGTTGGCGGCCTGTTTCTTCATGGCAGAAACGTCGCCGTCACTCTTGCGGAGAGCTGCAAACACACGCACACAACTTCATTCGAGGCCATAATAAGACAAGAAAACCTTCATTTGTCTCACAATGGAGAATTTCGCATGTCGGAAAAGTGACTTTTTAGGATTCCGTGTCCGCCCCAACACTAATCCGCAAACTACTCGGACCACCGACCCGGAAGCCGCAACGGAGGGACTTTTATGTGCGTATTCTTTCACTCCTGAAAAAGGGAGCCAATGTCAGCACGCGGTGCAAGACGAGGCCTCCGAGCGTGGACCTTTGAGGTCCTGAGACGCGAGGGAAGGCTTTCAAAGGCATTGCCCCGCCTCAATTCGTGAGCGCTCCTCCTGGCCTCCTCACCTTTCTTGGTGGCTTCCAGTTCCTCCGTCAAGGTTTTCACTTCCTCCTTCAGAGTCTTGTTCTCTTGTTGGACTCCGCCTCCTTTCTTTCCCGCCTCCGGCACCTCCAGACCGGCTTCTCGGAGTTTCTGTCAGAAGAAGAAGAAGAGCCTGGGTCACATTTGAAAGAGGGCGAGAAAGATTGCGGCAAGCCTCAAAGCAAAACGGCCCGCGACGTGTTATTGCGACACGATGAGCACGTGTGATTCGGCGATGTCGTCATCAAGCGTCAAAAGGTCAACGAAGGCAACGTGGCGAGTGACAAGAGCAGCTGAGGGGCGACGGAATCAAACAGCTGCCAAGGCGTCGTTTTCAGCATCATCTCACTTTCCTGCACTGACGCCACCGGGACTCAGCGCCCCCCCCCTTTACTCTGCGTGTTTGTTTACGGATCAGTGAACAGTTAACTGTCGGTAAATGACTCAGTTGCGAAAGAGAAGAAAATAAATTTGAAGTTGGTTTGGGAAAAAAAAAGTGAGTGGAGAGTTAAATTTACAAGACTGCAAAAAGAAAGTGGCGAGCGAGGGAAAGGAAGAAAAAGGAAAGGCGTCACACTCCTGTTGACCGGAGCGAAAAGCGAAATCTTTTATTTTGAAAGCCAACATGCTCTGCGGTTTCTCGATCTTCCTGCTGAAAATTCACTCGGAAATCATTTGACAACACCTTGGCGGAGCACCTTTCAACAAGCAAGTAGAAGTAGCAGTACGCACGTGCAAGCAGGAGAGGTCGGAAAACAAAGACCCCCCCCCCCCGTCCCACTCACTTCTTGCAGCATTTCATTTTCATCCATGAAGCTCTTGGCGGCGTTGCTGGCGCCCTCCGCCTGCTTCTTGAAGGCCTCGTTGGACGCCATCAGGGAGGCCTGCTGGGAAAGAAGAGTGGCCAGGCGACGCAGCAACCTGCGCGGGCCGCACGCACACACACACACAATCGCTTAATCAAGTACGATTTGGGATTCGGCATTTTGGCCTCACCGGACCGTCGACTTCCTGCAACTTTTACGAGGTATCGTTGCGAGCGATAATCGAAAGCTGTTGCTAAAGGAATTTGCCTGGCCAAGTTGAAGCCGAGCATTCCTCAACTTTCCTCTGGGAGGCAACAACAAACGTTAGACTGGTACCTTTTTTGCGCTGAGCTAACAAATATCTTATGTGACCCCCCCCCCCCAAAAAAAAACACATTCTGTTTTTCCGATGATGAAGGGTGAGATGATACATTTGTGAAACTTGGGGGGGCAGTACCTTGAACGACGTTAAGAAGTCCTGGTCTGCACGGATCCGACATCCGCCCGACACGGAATTTATCTCAACCGTCGTTCGGGTTTACACCGCGTTTGAGAACAGGGTCGGCCGCAGGTTGAGATCAGGTTCAGGTTTAGACTCATTTTAGTTTGCATTTCAAAGTTGAGAACAGGGTTTGACCACGTCTCAAATGAATTTCGCTTTTTTTTTCTTCAGGGCTGCTTGAAAATGGTTTGAAAGAGATTTGGACAGAGTTTCATACGAGTTGAGATCAACTCTCCACTGCACTTGAAACGAGGCGAGTCCAAAATGAGCGAACGTGCTCGCACAGGGCGGACGGCGCTACAGACGAAGCATCGTGCGGCTCGTCAACTTATATTTAGCAAGACGCGCGGACGGAGCCCGTGGTGTCAACACGTGGTGCCGGTGAGGTACAAGTAACGTGACCGCACCGAATGTCACAGACGGAACAAAAAAGGGCAAGCGGAGCGGGACGGCGCGTTCCTGGGTTACGTTTATCGAGGAGACGCAAACAGTCGGGAGGAAGTGACTCAGGGCGTCCAAATATGGCCGCGGGGGTCAGAGACGGTCCGGAAATATCTGATCAGCTGCCGACACTTTCCGCTAACTTGTGTGACTCCCAACATGGAAATCCAACAGTCACCTTCCATTCAAGCACAGCTTGAGAGTGTGAGCATACATCGCCCCCTACTGGCAGCCCATCTTAGTACACTAATGTGTTCCAGGTACCGATTCTTGCCATTATCATGTCGGGCTTGCTCATCGTGAGCCCATTCCGAAACTTATTAATTGAAGTCCATGGAATAATGAATCACGTTTTGCAACAAAAGAAGTGAAGTGATCTCGTGATGATCCGGTTTAGGCTGAGTTTGGAGACAGTTTGGACGGCGTTAGAAAAAGTAAACCTGACTTTGCACAGTTTCATCCACCTTTAGATATCTGTCTTAGAAAAGCATTTACATCCGGTTTAGATGAAATTCAGATTCAATTTAGAATGCATTTTGATCCTGTTTAGACGGCTTCTCAAATGAGTTTTGATCACGTTTGGATCGGGAGAGGTTTCAGTCCGGTTTGGACTGAGAGTAGAGCAGATTTATCTGTGCATAGACCAAGTTTGGACTGGGTTTGAAATGAGTTCAGATCTGGTTTGAACCACGATTTGGAGTGGGTTTCAAATACATTTAAATTCGGTTCGGAATGCATTTAAAGACTGCAAAAACAAAGATGGAGTCGGTGTGTGTGTGTGTGTGGGTGCGTGTGTGCTCTCACAGGCAAAGCAGGAGTGCAAATCCAGCGATGTAGAGATTCCTCTGCGCTCGGAACAGTTTCATGTGAATGTGCTCAATGGCGGTGGGATTGTTGGTCAGGTCCACCTTCTCGGTCACACTGTACTTCCTCACCTCGCGGAAGGCATCTACGCCACGCGACAAAGCCCAACCGCAGAGCAGTCGGTGACTTCATCGGACACAACCGACTCACTCGTGCGACTTCTTGTCACAACGAAACGCACGTGCGCGCGCGCGCACACTCACCGATGAGCAGAAAGACAAGGATGGCCATGGCCACCATGAAGGACGTGTTGCCATATAAGGCGATGGTTTGGACCAGCCGAGACCGAAAGACGCCATTCCACCTGGACGCAAACACACGCACATTTGTAAGGGAGCCATGAAGGATCGTGAGCAGAGTGAGCTGCTCTATAATTGCAGTCGATCCAATTCAGGGCGAATTGTCTCATCGTCCTGATGAATCCGAGCACAATCGTAGTGAATCGTATCATCAGAGTCGCACTGAAGTGAATTGTACCAAGAGCAAAGCTTTTGAGTCACTAACAGTGAATCTCAATGACTCATCACACAATTGGAGTGAAAAATAATCGGGAGTGAATCGAATCGTAATTGCAGTGAACTGCAATCGGAGTCAATTGTAGCGCAACTGGAGGTGACGGCATCGTCAACTGTTGTGAGCAGTTGGTGACTCCTCATCATCGTGGTGTGAATCGGATGATTTGCGGAGCCGATTGTATCGTGAGCCCGGTGACTTGGACCGGAATTGTGGTGAATCATAAACAAAGCAAATGGCAACAGAATCGAAATCAACCGGATAACTCTTGTCGTCAATGGACGCTACGGCTTCGTGTTTGCTTTCAAAACTTAGCTTGTAGCAGACGTGTGCACATTTTTAGCATGACGTCTGTGATCCACTGGTGAAAGGACACTTTGATCCTCTCCTCTTTCATCTCTAACTGCTTCAAACAACAAAGTGTATGCAGGAAAAGTGATCAAGATTGCACGACTGTCTGTGTCTTATGTGTTTTGTTGCGTTATATTGTTATTTTGACTTCAAAATGGCGCCGCGAGAGTGGCTGCCTTTCCAGCAGCTCCTCTATTTTGTTCTTCTACTTCTTCCTTTCATAACTTTGCTGCTGTGAATTGGGAATTTCTCCATTGCGAGACTAATAAAGGATTTCTTATCTTATAACAATTAGTGACTTGTAATCACAGACTCATCAGAATGGTCGTGAATTGCATCATTATGGTCCTTGAATCAGACCGTAACAGGGTTGTCGTTGTGGTCGGTCATGATGAAATTGCCGTACATGAAATAATAATCGTTGGGAATCGTATTATCTCGTGGTAACTTGCACGGTAATTGCAATGACTTATATTGGAAAGGTAGTCCACCATATCAGAATCAAAACGTAACTGTATTGAAGTGAATCGAATCGGATGACAGTCAATGTGAATCTTCTGGTCATCTTATCAAACTCGAACTGAATGGTAGCAAGCACCTGAAAGACGGCGGCTCCCATGATTCCTACTCTCGCCACAATTTGTCAAGTGAGGACAAAAATGTTTGGTGAACATTCCATTCACATTTGCTAATCTGAATATAAACGCAGGACACCACCAAAAACGGCTTCACGTCGCACCGCGTTAACGTGTGTGGAAGCACGTACCTCTTTGCGGAAATGAAGGGGATGCAGAGGAGGAGCACCAAGAAGACCTCCACATACAAGAAGGTGGCCACTGCGGTCCACTGGAGACTCATCACTCTGGCGCGCACACACACACACACACACACACACACACACACACACACACACACACACACTTTGACTTTGAAGAGTCATCAATGTCTTTGTCTATACCTAATCTGAATTCACTCTCAACTTGATCGAATCACAGTGGAAAACCGATCTAAAATCAGGTGCCCCTCTGCATGAACCTGACCCAAGCTCATTTGAAATGCCGTCTAAACCTAATCTAAATGCAGTGTAAACCTGATAGAAACTCGTTTGAAAGTCAGTCTACACCTGATACAAGTTGATCTGAAAGGCATTTGAAATAGTCTAGACCTGATTTAAAATACGTTTGACTTCAGATCAAAACGCAGTTTTTAATGACCAAAATGACGGTGAAACTCATCCAAAAACTAAACTAAGCTCGTTTGAGACTAGTCAGTTCAAGAGACGCTTATATTGTGTTGAGGTGTAAAGACAAACATGAGGAAATTGTGTTCTTTTGAGTCCTAACGTCAATAAAGTCAACAGAAGCGAATACAGCCTGCTCGCTAAGCCAGTTAGGATGGAGAAGCCACGAAACAGGCTCTCTCTTTGCTCCGTCGTGCACACAAGCAGTTGTCATAAAATGATAACTATGTTGCCTACAACTAAAAACAGGTTTTAAAATATCTACGTGCTGAGTTGCGCAGAACGGGCGCCGTCTATTTACTGGAAGAGAGTGGAGGTAAAACCCGTAAACTTGCTCCAGGAGAAGACGGTGATAGAAAAAAAAAGCAAAGATTAATCTCTGACACTCACCTGCAGTTGTATCGCGAACACTCACTAATAAGTAATAATCGAATGTGATCCAAGTGTTCAAGCCCTTTTACAGCTTGGGGATTGGAGCTTGTTATGAAGTCAACACTTCCTACTTCCGGGAGAAATGCCAGCTCATCCCGAAGGAGCCATGTAATTGGTTATATACGGGAAAAGAGGCGGGGCTACACGCGACAACAATTGTTACGTTCCTATTGCGTCAATATGAGAATTGCAAGGATGCTATTTCGATTTCATACAATTTACGTGTAACCTGATGGATATTTTCACTTGTTCACTTACGCGTCGCTTTTACATTACGTCACATGACACTGAACAACAAAGTGTATGCAGGAAAAGTGATTACGATTGCACGACTGTCTGTGTCTTATGTGTTGTGTTGTGTGATTTTGTTATTTTGACTTCAAGATGGCGCCGCGAGAGTGGCTGCCTTTCCAGCAGCTCCTCTATTTTGTTCTTCTACTTCTTCCTTTCATAACTTTGCTGCTGTGAATTGGGAATTTCTCCATTGCGAGACTAATAAAGGATTTCTTATCTTATAACAATTAGTGACTTGTAATCACAGACTCATCAGAATGGTCGTGAATTGCATCATTATGGTCCTTGAATCAGACCGTAACAGGGTTGTCGTTGTGGTCGGTCATGATGAAATTGCCGTACATGAAATAATAATCGTTGGGAATCGTATTATCTCGTGGTAACTTGCACGGTAATTGCAATGACTTATATTGGAAAGGTAGTCCACCATATCAGAATCAAAACGTAACTGTATTGAAGTGAATCGAATCGGATGACAGTCAATGTGAATCTTCTGGTCATCTTATCAAACTCGAACTGAATGGTAGCAAGCACCTGAAAGACGGCGGCTCCCATGATTCCTACTCTCGCCACAATTTGTCAAGTGAGGACAAAAATGTTTGGTGAACATTCCATTCACATTTGCTAATCTGAATATAAACGCAGGACACCACCAAAAACGGCTTCACGTCGCACCGCGTTAACGTGTGTGGAAGCACGTACCTCTTTGCGGAAATGAAGGGGATGCAGAGGAGGAGCACCAAGAAGACCTCCACATACAAGAAGGTGGCCACTGCGGTCCACTGGAGACTCATCACTCTGGCGCGCACACACACACACACACACACACACACACACACACACACACACACACACACTTTGACTTTGAAGAGTCATCAATGTCTTTGTCTATACCTAATCTGAATTCACTCTCAACTTGATCGAATCACAGTGGAAAACCGATCTAAAATCAGGTGCCCCTCTGCATGAACCTGACCCAAGCTCATTTGAAATGCCGTCTAAACCTAATCTAAATGCAGTGTAAACCTGATAGAAACTCGTTTGAAAGTCAGTCTACACCTGATACAAGTTGATCTGAAAGGCATTTGAAATAGTCTAGACCTGATTTAAAATACGTTTGACTTCAGATCAAAACGCAGTTTTTAATGACCAAAATGACGGTGAAACTCATCCAAAAACTAAACTAAGCTCGTTTGAGACTAGTCAGTTCAAGAGACGCTTATATTGTGTTGAGGTGTAAAGACAAACATGAGGAAATTGTGTTCTTTTGAGTCCTAACGTCAATAAAGTCAACAGAAGCGAATACAGCCTGCTCGCTAAGCCAGTTAGGATGGAGAAGCCACGAAACAGGCTCTCTCTTTGCTCCGTCGTGCACACAAGCAGTTGTCATAAAATGATAACTATGTTGCCTACAACTAAAAACAGGTTTTAAAATATCTACGTGCTGAGTTGCGCAGAACGGGCGCCGTCTATTTACTGGAAGAGAGTGGAGGTAAAACCCGTAAACTTGCTCCAGGAGAAGACGGTGATAGAAAAAAAAAGCAAAGATTAATCTCTGACACTCACCTGCAGTTGTATCGCGAACACTCACTAATAAGTAATAATCGAATGTGATCCAAGTGTTCAAGCCCTTTTACAGCTTGGGGATTGGAGCTTGTTATGAAGTCAACACTTCCTACTTCCGGGAGAAATGCCAGCTCATCCCGAAGGAGCCATGTAATTGGTTATATACGGGAAAAGAGGCGGGGCTACACGCGACAACAATTGTTACGTTCCTATTGCGTCAATATGAGAATTGCAAGGATGCTATTTCGATTTCATACAATTTACGTGTAACCTGATGGATATTTTCACTTGTTCACTTACGCGTCGCTTTTACATTACGTCACATGACACTGAGTCGACGTTTGGAGAGCGTCAAAGAGCGTCACGGGACTAAATTCGTCTGACGATCAGCAGAGGGAGCCACAGTCCACACATGTAAGTATCCATCCATCCACCAATCCATTTTCTAATTTGTTTTTCCTCACGACGGTCGCGGGCGTTCTGGAACCAATCCCAGTTGGTTTGGGGCAGTAGGCGGGGTACACCCTGAACTGCTTGCAAGCCAATCGCAAGGCACACAGAGACAAACAACCATTCACACTCATAGTCACACCTTTTAGAAAATTTAGAGTTGCATGTTTTTGAAATGAGGGAGGAAACATGAGTACCTGGAGAAAACCCATGTTGGCACGGAGAAAACATTCAAAGTCCACACAGGAAGGCCAGAGCCTGGAATCGAACCCTTCACCTCTGCACTGTGAGGCATGCGTGCTAGTCAGTCGATTACCCCCTTTATTCTAAACAAAAACAGCTAAACAAATCGTCTTTAAAATACATTTGATTAAATTCCTATTCATGAAATGTATTTATATTTCGCATTGTAAATTACTTTCAAGAATTGTTTAATTTATGAATGATAAATAACGCAATAAAATAGTAAAATAAAGGATCTGGAATATTAATTTTTAATGATGCGTATTACATAATTGCTGAATGTTTTCATTGTAAATAAACAAGAAAATAGCAAAATAAGCAAGTTTACATTTGTACTTAATTGCTTCCTTTATTATAAAGTATAAAGTTCATGATGATATGATATAATAAAATATAAAAATAGTAAAACAAATACATTTATATCTACATTAAACAGTAATATTTTCTTAAGTATTTGCCTATGTGAAATGTTTGCTTTGTTGATAATTAAGTACATAAATAATGCAAATAAAAATGATAATTATTACCTTACTAGTTGAGAAAAGTAAAAAAAAAAGGTTTGCCAACCCTGATCTACAGGGTACTGTGTGTGTGTGCGTGTGTGGGTGCGTGTGTGTGTGCGTGTGTGCGTGCGTGCGTGCGTGTGTGTGTGTGTGTGTGTGTGTGTGTGTGTGTGTGTGTGTGTGTGTGTTGGAAGGATGGGTAGTGGTTTTTAGGACACATTTTGTTCACCGTGAAGCAGCGGCCATGTTGCTGCCCCACTTTTATTTAGCTTGGCTTCTTTTCAACAACCCCCTCCCCGCCCCCCTCAATCCTTCCATAATCCGTTTCCCCCACCCCCCCAGAGTGCTGTTATCAGCAACATGCAGAACCCCAATCCTGGCAGTTCATTCTTAGGCTAATATGGCTTCGTGTTGGGGGAGGGGGCGTGGAGCTCGGGGGTGTCACGGTGCTTGGTTCAAATGATTAAGAAACATCCGAAGGACACACAGACAGGAGACCCGCTGACAAGCTAACGATATTAGCCCTGCTGGCCTTCTGTTTCTGCATTTCCAAGCAGGCTGCCTATCATTTATTAAACATGGCAGCTGTGGTCATGTGACTGGCCGCCACCCAATCATAAATGATGCACAAGATGGACCGGCTGGCTGTTGCCAGGCGGATTAACCCTGAAAAACCCTGGAAGAAAGTAGCCAATCCTTTAACATCCTTTCACTTGAATCCCTCGAAAGGATGGGAGTTTGTTTTTTTTTTAACCCCCCCCCCAAAAAAACGTCAGCCCACTATGACGTCATGGTGTCAAAGTACCGTGTAACTTTCTGCCCGAGTGAGAGCTCTCGGCAACGTCAGTTTTTGTGCTGACATGATGTCATGCCTCACGAAATACAGGTTACCATGGTAACCGATTCGCTCTGTTGAGAGGATGATGATGATGTCAGCATCCAGCGGCACTGCCGATTTAGTGGACTGCAGCTCTGGTTGAAGTTCTAATACCGATGTCATAGCGACACTGTCTATTTGCCGGATTACTGGTTTGTCCCAAAGATTCAAAAATCAATGGAAAGATACCGTATATTTACTGGTCAACGGGGCCACACTTATTGATGTGTGAATTAAAACCATTCACATGGAGGCATTCTGTTCCAATCCAATCCCTGCTTCGGTGTGTGTGTGCATGTGTGTGTGTGTGTGGGGGGGGGGGGACTTTAATTTGCTTGTTAAAGATTTTACCATTGCCCCATGGTCACATGTATTAGGCTCGTCTATTTTGTTGGGTTCAGGGTTCCCATTCTTTGCTTTAATTTATTGCCCAGGACTTTTTCATCTGCTCCAGTAGGAGTCAAGTAATCATAACATTCACAAATAAAGTCCACTGCCCCAGGAATTGGAGAAGTGTTATTTTCTTCAATTGTACTTAATATTTTGTACATTTAACCAAATTGGCTCAATGTTTACCAGATACCATACCAAATTGACAACCCCCCCCCCCAAAAAAAAGCAAACGACACTCACATCTGCGAATCGATTCTCATTGTTCCCCCCAAAAGAGCCGTTCAAAAGTACGGCTCGTTCTCAAACTCTAAATTACTTTTATTGCTAAGTCAATCAAAATGATGGAGTTACAGCTGATTGATTGATGAGCTGGTGGGGGGGCAAGAGAGGGCAAAGCCAAAACTAGCACCCATGGCACTTGGCACAGCCCGGGGCAGAACACTTGCTAAAAACTGCACAAGTCAGAGCGCTGCTCTCTGTGCAGTTTTTTCTCAGTCGCATATTTGCGGTTTCTGCTCTTGGGCAAAGCAGCAAGTATGAAAAGTGGTCCAGTCTGACGACTTGTTAAATGTTAATAGTCGCAATCTCGACACCGTCGTCATGGTTGCTGCGGCTCTACTGAAACGTAAAGCGCGACCGTTTTATGCTGGCCATTGAAGGCAGCTCCAAACAGAGATGTCTGTTGAACCCGTTGTGTGTTCACTCACACAACAGAGAGAGGCAAAGGGAGATTTTTTTTTCTAGGACAACTCAAGCTTTTTCAGAACCATTGACCCCCCCCCCCCCCCCCCCCCCCCTTTCTTTCTATCTCTTCCTCAACAATTCATTACAGCCGCGTTTTTTTTTTTTTTGTTTTTTTCTGACAGCGGCATAATGAAGGATATTGGGCAGCAGAAAACA